AGAGCTAAAGGGCCAAGCAGTGTTTAAATGAATACAGTTTGTGTGTTGTTATTTCGGAGCATAAGCTAGCCGAGCAGGCAGCCAGGGTGCCGGGGCAGCCCCGCCGCTCCTATTACTACAAATGGCACCCCGACGTGATGGACTAAACCTACTTAAAAAACCTGAGAAGGCTTAAAAATAAGGGAGAGAGTTTAATACAGATTTTTGCTGTTTGTTGGTGGCGTGCTGTAGAGAGATTTCCTGATTCGGCAATAGCAGCAGAAAAAACGCTGTGTCATTTTAAAGTGCAGCTTCTTGGGGCTGTGCTGCCAGCATGAACTCTGGCTTTAAAGCATTTGTGGCACTCTGCTTGCTAGAGGCAAGCAAGAACTCTCATCTAAGAGAGGCTTCCTGACTCAGCTTTAGCTGCAAAACCCTGCAGCTCATTAAGAGGTCCTTTCACGAAACACTTAAACAGTGTTGACGAAAAGCTGAACGCATGATTTTCGGTTTTCAGCCGTAGCAGGAAAAAAGCTGCACCGTTTAAAAATGCCGGCTTTCTGGGTCATCCTGCCAGGGCAAACTCTTACTGTTTGAGGCAGGAGGGCCGGCTACCGAGAGAGGACTTGGGTGTTGTCTGTTGTAGCTCACTTGCTGGCAGGGACCTTGAAATGCCATAGAGTTGTGGCAGTAAACATGGCTACAGCCAGTACCTCAGCCATGAGGCTGGAAAGCTAAGGAATGGGCTACATCTAGCTGGCAAAGCCACGGCTTTAGTCCTAATGAGATTGCTAGGTAAATTAAAGACTCATGTGGTCAGAAAAACAGAGAGAGATACAGTAAAGAGAGCGTCAAAGACAAAGAAAAATTTTAAATGATTTACAGCGTGTTAAAAATATATGCAGACTAAAAGTTAAAATTCTTAAAGTAAAAAACAAAAAAAAAGGAAGAGAGTGTTGTGTGTGGTAGTACACACCTTTAATCCCAACACTTGAAAGGCAGAGGGAGATTGACCTCTGTGACTTCAAGGTGTGGTAGCACACGCCTTTAATCCCAGTGCCTAGAAGGCAGAGACAAACAGATCTCTGTGAGTTCAAGGTGTAGTAGTGTACACCTTTAATCCCAATGCCTGGGAGGCAGAGACAGGCGAATCTCTGAGAGTTGTAGGACAGCCTAGTCCACAGAGTTATTCCAGGTCAAAGATATACAGAGAATATAAAATAGAAGTAAAAAGAAACGAAATAGAGGTTAAAACAAAGCTGTACAAAGATGGAAAATAGACAGAGAATTTTGATACTGTATGCTATTATGCTCTGTTTGAATTGTTTGAAAGCTGAGAAAAGAGCAACAGCTGCTAAAAGATATTTGTTTATAAATGCTGCTAAACTAATCCAACATAGATATTTTGAATTTGGATCTAAGGATATGATACTTTGGAAAAGAGATTCTTCTTTTGTTTTCACAGAGGATCAGACCTTGTGGATTGCATTTATCCCGATATGGTATGATGGACCACACCCTCCTGAAGGGTTGTTGTGAACATCTTCAGAAAATTGCTTCGCTCAACTGCCAACTGAGATGAAACTAGCACACAGGTTATACCATGAAAGACCTAATTAACGATGCCCCCATTCAGCAGGAAGCAGTTTGGAGAGAAATAACTGCGCCCATATTCCCAAAAAATGTTTATAAATGTTGTTTTACATTTAAAGGGGGATATGATATAGGTATGAATAATTTGCATTAGTATAGATTTTGCTTTATTGATAGAGATTTACGGTCAATTTTGTTATATGTATATGTATTTCTGATCTTTATTAAGGTATTGTGATTGTGTAGTTCATTATTAAAATGTAATGTATAATTAGGAAATATAGGTTGTTGGTGGATAATCATAAATAATAGTCAAGTTTGTAGTCATGTTAGTTAATATTTTCTAGATGTGCGTAGATATATTTTAGATAGGCATTCTTCATATTTTTCAAAGATTATAGAATATGGCACTTTAAATGTTTTAATAACTTAGGACTTTTCATGACAATGAGACACTCTGCTCCTGGCAGCACCAATCTACTTCAAGAGGAAGATGGGCATCGAAGAGGATCCTTATGGAGTTTGATAGCCATTTGGGCAAGAAGCTGCTCTTGCCTGAACTATTGTATAAACTGGACACAGAGAACCCACAGAGAGAGGACTACTGAACTTGCCTAAGGTGAGATGATCTTTCGGGGTTCCTGATTCATGAAAGAGTCTGCGAGACATTCTGCAGGACACAACAGATAGTGACTGAACTGACTTTGAATTTTCCTGCTTTATGGAAATGTCTGCTGGATACTATGGGCCTGAAGGCTGAAGATGGATGCCCCAACGGTACAGAGGAACTTTGGGTGACTGTCCAGGCAACGAGATGTCTCTGTCATTTCTCAAGTTTTAAAAGTTGCTTTTTTCTTGTTTGCTTAGGTAGTATTGTATCTTTCTGGAGTCTTTGATGGAGTTAAGAATAGATAGTTATAGTTATAGTTTTCCTTAGTTATGATAAAGATCATTGTAACTTTTACTTGATAACTGTTTTGTTATATGTAATTTTGCTATGTTAAAGTTAAAGCCTTTTTGTTTGTTTGTTTGTTTGTTTGTTTGTTTAAACCGAAAAAGGGGAAATGATGGAGGAAGGTCATTGGTTAAATAAAAAGAAACTGCTTGGCCCTCATTGGTTAGAAGATAGGTGCGGGGAGTAAACAGAGCAGAACGCTGGGAGGAAGAGGAAGTGAGCTCAGACTCCACAGCTCTCCTCTCAGGAGCAGACGCCTGAGAGAGACGCCATGCCCCGCTCCTGGGCAGACACACGCCATGAAGCTCCAACCCAGGATGGACTAGGCTAGAATCTTCCCAGTAAGACCGGTTCTCACAGATTATTAGAGATGGGTTGATCCGGATGTGAGAATTAGCCTGTAAGGGCTAGAGCTAAAGGGCCAAGCAGTGTTTAAATGAATACAGTTTGTGTGTTGTAAACAGAACAGAACGCTGGGAGGAAGAGGAAGTGAGCTCAGACTCCACAGCTCTCCTCTCAGGAGCAGACGCCTCAGAGAGATGCCATGCTCCACTCTCCCGGGCAGACGCACGGGATGAAGCAAGCCGCCAGGTTAGACATGCTGAATCTTTCCCGGTAAGACCGGTGCTCAAAGATTATTAGAGATGGGTTGATCGGGATGTGAGAATTAGCCTGTAAGGGCTAGAGCTAAAGGGCCAAGCAGTGTTTAAATGAATACAGTTTGTGTGTTGTTATTTCGGAGCATAAGCTAGCCTTATGGGCAGCCGGGGTGCTGGGGACGCAGCCCCGCCGCCCATATTACTACACTTCTGGGGGTGGGCCCTGGAGGTTCTATCTGCCACTGGTTCTGGCCTGAGATGTCTGCTTCCTGATCTGCTGCGATGTGAACAAGCCACGCTGCAAGCTCTCTCTCCACGCCCCTCCTGCCGTGGTAGACATGCGTACCCTCTAGAACAATGCACCCAGGCAAATCTCCCTTCTCTTATGTTTTTCTGCCCAGTATTTTGTCCCAGAGACAAAAATGTAACCAACTCTCTTACCCTCCTGGGGTTTAAATTCTATTCTAGTTTCTCCTCTACAGATCATACATTGCAATCTCTAGGCCTAGTCTCTCCATGATGATCCTAACCAAATGAACGAATTATACACGTCACGCAAAAACACTTATCTTCTGCACATTGCAGCAAAAGAACCCAAAGAACTTGCTGATGTAAAGGGAAGACTCCCAACTGGGCTGTGATTCTGTGAGTTCAGTCGAGCAAGTTTTGTGCTAAGAGTCAAATGTGGCTGCAGCTGGAGGCTGCGGAGATGCAATGACTGAAAGCACTGGCATGCATGGCTGGCAGGAGAGAGTGGCTGCAGGCTGAGGGCCGTTCTGAAGACTTGCCAGTAGCTACGGGCTGCAAACTTTGATCGGCATGGCAGCTGAATTCTGAGAGGTCAGGAGAAGCTGCAAGATTCTGTGTGCCTTAGACTTGAAGTCACAAAGTATCCTTTCTGCTACTGTCTATAGATCACACAGGCCATCCCTGGCTCTATGTTAAAAGGGACAACACAAGCGCATTAATATCTGGACGCATTTCAAGAGCTGTAGTGCAGCCTTATGAAATACAAAAGTAATAGGATATGTTATTTTTTTAATAAAAATTAGAAACTGATGGAAAGATTTGCTGGGCAGTGCTGGCACACGCCTTTAATCCCAGCACTAAGGAGGCAGAGGCAGGCAGATCTCTGTGAGTTCGAGGCCAGCCTGGTCTACAAGAGCTAGATCCAGGACAGGCTCCAAAGCTACAGAGAAACCCTGTATCAAAAAAAAAAAAAACAAAAAAAAAAAGATTTTATTCTTGTGCCCATAGAAGGTTATTATATATGTAATACAATATATATATTAAATATTATATATCAGGCAGAACAAGATCTTTGAAGAAAAACAGTTGTCCACATTTTCGAGATGAGAGGAACATCTTAGGGACGGTTAAGAGCAAGTCTGGGCTTGGTCACTTATGTTAGCCTGACCTGCAACAGGCCCCTCATTCTCATCCATCAAATGGAAGCAGCAGTGGGAACCTCAGATTAGGTCTCAAAACCTGGACATGTTAACATTGCACCCCAATAAATTGTACTAGTGAGTGGAGCACTTGAGGTTTCGATTGAAGTTTGCTTGACTCTAATGCCCATGAGAGGTCTTCGGTTTACACAGTTAGAGGACATAGAGGACAACTGTTCCTAGATGTCCTGATCCACATCTGTCACTATGCAGTGAACTGCCCACTTGAAATGCCATAAGATCAACGGACCATTTCTGGGGCATGAGAAAGGTTTCAAATGGTGGTGGTGGTGGTGGTGGTTTTCTCGCTGGGAACTGGGCCCAGGATCTTATGCCTTCTAGATGAAAGCTGTCTCTACGCTACATTCCCCCAGCCCTGTAGTAAAACTGACGAGCATTCCTGAACTTACTTAGCCATGTACTTACAGAAGATAGATGATATTTATCCTCCCAAAGAGCTTCTGAGTAAATTTTCTAATGAGGCTTTTGATACAAAAGATATCCTGGGATTCTGTTCTTCGGCAATGAACCACTTCTACCTTCCCTCTGGGAGAAGTGAGGACTGACATTTTTTCTTCTGTACCCAAGAGAAAGAGAAAAGTCCCTTATTAATTTGAGATGATGGGATAGCTCAATTACAGTACACACAGCATGGGACAGTTACTTAATTTCATGTGGTCAGGGTAAACACATGTAGGGGTTCTCAGGGACACTCACAGGACACATTTTCCCAGGTGGCTGGCTTCAACAATGGTTATTGCAAACCTGCTAAAATGCTGCTCTCCTAGAAGATGAACTGAGAACAAACTTGCCTAGAACTTTCTACACCTATTTTAAAACTGCTTTAGATATTGGAAGGGCTCGTTGACTGACTTAACCCACCATGACGGCATACAGTCTTATTATAAAGAAAGTACCGACAGCCATGTGTTGCAAATATCTGTACACTGTATGGAGAGATGTTGGCTGTGATTGGTGTAGTAAAATGATGAATGGCCACTAGCTAGGCAGGAGAGGATCAGTGAGATTTCCAGGAAGAGAAAGGAAGAGAGATCTAGGCACAGAGAGACACCAGCGAGATGGAGAACAAGTCGGACATACTGTACAGAGGAGAGGTAGCTGAGCCGTGAGGCAGAACATAGATTAGTAGAGGTGGGTTAATTTGAGTTAAGAACTAGTTGGAGGAAAAACCTAAGCTAAGGCCAAGAGTTCATAATTAATAATAAGTCTCCATGTCAGTCCCGCCAATAACGAGAAAGTCCAATTGCAGCTGTGCCCACATTCCAAATAAGAGTTTGCCCTTATGGAACCTGGAACCCTGAGAGACATCAATCTTGAAAGGTTTTATGAGACAAAAACTTAAGCTCATGTTACTAAAGGAAAGACAACAATCTGAAAAGACATGTCTCCAATCTCTACAAAGAGTAAAGCTACAGAGACATTAAAATATAAGAAGGCTATTGCACCCACCCCCACTACCTGCCTAAGTACCAGTACCTTTGCCTCAATTCCCTCCCCCTCCCTCTTCCCCTCGGCTCAGGGATCATCATCGAAGAGGAGGCAGAAAGAGCCAGGTGATCACAGAAAACATCTGGACACAGAAGGGCAGCTGCACACATGAACATCTGTGACAGCATGTGCAAGAACTGTGCCAACCCAAGCCAGACCACAACCCCGAACAGAGAGTCAGGCCCACAGCCCCATTCCTGACAGGGGGGAAATTAACAATTAGCTGCTGGAAAGGGTTGGTTTTCCCTAAGAAGGCAACCCCTGGGAAGCTGGCCATGCTCCAGTTGTGGTGTAGGAGGTCCTTCAGAATTTGTGTTGCTTTCATTGGTTAAGCAATAAAAAAAAGAAAAGAAAACTGCTTGGCCTGATAGGGCAGAACTTAGATGGGTGGAAAAGACAGAACTGTATTCTGGGAGGAAGAAACCAACAGATAGAGAGAGCCGCCATAAAGTCACCAGGTCAGAGACGCTGAATCTTTCCCAGTAAGCCACGACCTCGTGGTGATATACAGATTAACAGAAATGGGTTAGATCAAGAAGAGGCTAGATATAATGAGCCAGACAGTAATTAAATTAATACAATTTCTTTATGGTTATTTCGGGGGTTAAGCGAGCCGGGTGGTGGGCCACGGTCCGCTTCCTCCTACTACACAGTGGAAGACTACATTTATCCAGGAATACTTTGGCAAAGCAAATGGAACTTAAAAGGTTAAAAAAAAGACACAAAGTTGGGTGGATGGGGAAGTGGGGCAGATTTGGGAAAAATTGGAGAGAGTGGATATAATTAAAACACACTGTACAAAACTCACAAAGAAGTAATAAAAAAAAAGCAGTTTAAAAAAATGGGGCTGGAGAGATGGCTCAGTGGTTAAGAGCATTGCCTGCTCTTCCAAAGGTGCTGAGTTCAATTCCCGGCAACCACAACCACATGGTGGCTCACAACCATCTGTAATAAGGTCTGGTGCCCTGTTCTGGCCTGCAGATATACATACAGACAGAAAATTGTATACATATAATAAATAAATAAATAAATAAATAAATAAATAAAAAAGATGGCCAGAAGGTGGTGGCACATGCCTTTAATCTCAGCACTGGAAGGTCGAGGCAGGCAGATCTCTGTGAGCTCAAGGCCAGCCTGGTCTACAGTGCAAGCCCCAGGACATCTACAGTTGTTACACAGAGAAGCTCCCGTAGGGAAAAAGGGACAGCCAAAGAAACACATTTTCGCCCTAGAATCAGAGCCAGTGAAGGAAATATGCTCTGGCACTGAAATTAGAGCCAAAAGGCTAAAAAGGGCCAGAGAAAGAACCACACTTTGGCCCTGAAACCAGAGCCAAATCTACTTCTGACCAACTAAGCAGAAAACCAACCAACCAATCCCTGAGCAGGAAAATGAACCAATCCCTGAGCACGAGATCTAGCAAAGCTGAGCTCAAGGAACTGAAATCTGAGCAACTCCCACCCTGAAAATCTCTCTGGAAAAACTCCTCCCCATGAAGACCTATATAAGCCCTAAGCCTGTTCAGTTTGCTGCTGCTGCCCTCCTCCACCCTCGCAGAGGCAGCTACCCTCCTGGATTCTTCCCTCCCAACCAACCTCTCTCTCAATCAATTAATCAATCTCTCTCTCTTCTGTTTTTCAAGACAGGGTTTCTCTGTGTAACAGTCCAGGAACTGTCTTGTAAAACAGACAGTTTTGCTGTCCTGGAACTAGGTCTTGTAAACCAGACTGGCCTTGAACTCACAGAGATCTACCTGCCTCTGCCTCCCAAGTGCTGGGATCAAAGGCCTACGCCACTACTGCCCAGTCCAATAAATCTCTCTCTGTCTCCCCCCCCCCAGACAGGGTTTCTCCGTAGTTTTTGGTTCCTGTACTGGAACTAGCTCTTGTAGACCAGGCTGGCCTCGAACTCACAGAGATCCGCCTGCCTCTGCCTCCCGAGTGCTGGGATTAAAGGCGTGCGCCACCACTGCCCAGCAAATTCAATCACTTTTTTGAAGGTGCGTCAGCTATTATACTTACTGACATCTAGTGAGCACTTTATATAGGCTTTTCAATCTTAAGGAAATAGGTATTTTTATTTTTTTATAGTCAAGGACATTAATGATAACAGAATTGAAATAATGAAAAATTCACAGACTAAAAATTTACACATCACTTTCTGACCATAGGGTTAGGTGTTTTGCTACTGGCTTATTTCCTTAACATCTTGTTTCAAAAATACCTCTTTCTATTAAAAAAAAAAAAAAAAACTACATTTCAGAGACGACCCAATCGCTAGGAAGTCCGGGACGAGGGAGCGTGGACGCAGCGACTACAAAGCCCAGCATTCACCGCTGCGCCGCCCACTGCTTGCAGGGCTGTGGTTTCTTTCGCCGCTCTTTCCTCCTCTACCAAGTTTCCACATCGGAGGTGGCTTCCTACGACCCCCGCAGGTGCCACTGCCCACAGCTGCACGCATCCCGAAGACCGACCTGGCTGCGTCCCAGGCCTCCCGGGCCCTATGTTCCTGCGGCACAGCCCACGATACCCACCTCATCCGCAGAGGCAGCCGAGCCGCTCCACAGAGGACGCGTACACGGTTGCTACGGAAACGACGTGACGTCTCGCCCAACTCACGCGGCGGTCAAAGGTCGTCCTGACGAATTCCGCTTCCGGTTCCGGGATCTAGTTTGTTGTGGGCTGGCTCTCAGGTGTGGGCCGGTTCTCGAAACTGATTTCTGAGGTTCGGGTGTGGGTCGAGGTTGCGCCAGTTCAGCGGCTGCAGACATGGCGGCCTCTACGGCGGCCGGGAAACAGCGAATTCCCAAAGTGGCCAAGGTAAGCGACGGCGAAGGGCCCCAGCACAGCATCTGCGGTGTCGTGCTCCGGACGCTCGGGGTAGCGAGCTCTGCGCCTAGGTCGGTGGCGTGGCGAGGGGTCTTGTCACTCCAAGCTCGTTTCGAGTCTGTCCTGCCCCCCCCTCTCTCTCCCCCCCTCTTTCCTCCCTCCCTCCGTGTCTCCTCTCCTCTCTCCTCCCTCCCTCTCTCCTCACTCTCGTCTATCTGTCTCAGAGTTTCTCTGTAGCTTTAGAGCCTGTCCTGGAACTAGCTCTTGTAGACCAGGCTGGCCTCGAACTCAGAGATATCCGCCTGCCTCTGCCTCCCGAGTGCTGGGATTAATGGTGTGCGCCACCACTGCCCCTCTGGGTCGTTCTTCATGGCCTTTTTGCCTTGAGATAAGTTTTGATTTCCACATGTAATTATTGTCAAAGTCTAATGTGGGAGCTTTTTTCCATACTGTGAGGTGTGCTGGCTAGGTTTTTGTTAGCTTGACATAAGCTACAGCTATCTGGGGAGCGAAGGAACCTCAGTTAATAAAAATTCCTCCATCAGACAGGCAAGTCTGTTAGGCATTTTCTTATTTTGAAGGGCCCAGCCTTCTCAAGGAGTGCCACACCTGGGCAGGTGGTCCTGCCTACTGTAAGAAAGCAGGCTGAGCAATCAATCCAGTGGGCAGTGTTCCTGTGTCTCAGTTCCTGCCTCTAGGCTGCCCCAACTTCCCTTCCTGATGGGCTGTGATCCCAATGTATTAACCGAATTAACTCTTTCCCCTCCAAGTGCTTTTGTTGGTGATGTTTTATCACAGCGGTAAGAAAGCAATTTAGAACAGTTTGCCTGTACTTCGGGCCCACCTAAATCGGAACACGTTTGGCTTGTAGCTACTGTGTTGAACACAGCTGTGTGTGCCCGAGAAGCTAACAGACTGATGATGGGAAGTTTCACATGACCAGGTTGACCACTAGAGGGGTTAAAATAAGTAGAAGAGCCGGGCGATGGTGGTGCACGCCTTTAATCCCAGCACTCGGGAGGCAGAGGTAGGCGGATCTCTGTGAGTTCGAGACCAGCCTGGTCTACAGAGCTAGTTCCAGGACAGGCTCCAAAGCCACAGAGAAACCCTGTCTCGAAAAACCAAAAAAAAAAAAAAAAAAAAAAAGTAGAAGAATCCTGTAAACAGGTTACAATGCTAGGAAGTCGTGCTTATTCTACTTCTTTAAAAAGGAAAAACTAGCTGAGCAATGG